TTTGTTCTTTACCGACTCCAGACGGGACATTGAAAAGTCTCCGAATTTTGAAACAAAACAAAAATGGGACAAAAATGTCGCAGGAATGTATTGGATTTGTCGCAATTTTGTTGTAAAACGTGAATGTTTCTGTCTTGTCGATGTTTTGTCTGCTTGGTCTGGATTCGGCATTAGGAAAATTTTTAAGCTTCATTCACCTAAAAATTGTGGAATAAATTAGTGATGTCAATTAGTGTAGAAGATTGTTCTTTTAATTTCAATGTAAACATTCAGGACGTCAAAATTAGTGGCAGCAATTTTCACTTAGTAAAAAAAGTTAACTCACTAACTAATTATACCGTATGATCGAAAAAAAACGGCGACCAGTTGGCTTGGAAATGAATATCGATGACATTCACTCGATAATTTTATATACCTACATATGTACAGGGTGAGTCAACGATAGAATAAAGTCCATTATCTCATTTGTTTCAAGGTTTACAAAAAAATTTTTAATATAAAAGTTATAGGGATGGTTAAGATACACATTTTAAAATTATTATAGAGTATACAAGGTGCTTCATAAAAGTGTGGCGGCTATAACATATGTTTTTTTAAATGCAACACCCTATTTTTTATTTTGTTTTTAGATTCTGCGTGAAATTCCATAACTTTTTTATATATAATATTATATACCTAAAATTATTAGTTTTTGTAATATTTCAATTTATTTAAACAAATGTTAAATTGCAGTGTGGTAAAAAATTGTCAGTGGTGCCATTGTTTCTGAAGTTGGAGTACCAAAATTTGGTAGGAGAGTTTTATAGAGATGAAAAAAAAGATATATGTAAAGATATTTTAGTTAAATGATACAGGGTGTTCAAAATATATTTATGAATTGCAACTACTTAAAATTAAAAAATCTCAAATTTTTTAAATGGGACACCCTATATATTATCATTTTTTCTGATAGATTTGACAAAACTCTTCAACTTTTATTAAGTATGTCATATCCCTATTTTTAATAGTTTGCAATTTATTCCCATTTTTTCTATTTTTACCCATATTTTTAATACAATTACCCTATAAAATCATAGTTGCCATGACAAAACAAAACTATTTATTACTCACCTTTAACAAGTAGCTTCATAATTAGTTACAATTGCTGGTATTAGTTAAAATTAATTAACTTAACTCAAATAAACTAAATCGCAGTAGTGAATTTCTTGGTGTATTTCTATATTATGAAAGATGACACTTGGGATTTTTTGTCGGGGCGAATAGCCACAGATTAGGGTAATATTAGATTACCTAATTGCTAAAGACTACTGATATATGAATTTTCTTCGACATACAGTATAGTTTTTTTCTCTTAGTAATTCTGATTTATAATTCATTTGGTAAAGCCAATATTACTACTGCCACGAAACCGTCCCATTACACGATGCAGATAATATAGTTAGTAAGTTTTCTAGATAATATACATCTATCCTTATAGTAGTTAGCAAAGTACTATATAATAAATAGTACTGAACCAAAAAATGTGGTTTTCTAAGCTTGTCCGTGTATATCATTCACATTGACTAATTCATTTCAAGAAAATCTGTTATCTCTACCATTTATACTTATTACAACAAATTAAACTAAAATTCAAATTTTGTTCTTAACTTGCTTAACAGACATGAAATTGTCATAATTATTAGTTTTGTCATGGCAACTATGATGTTATAGCGCAATTGTATTAAAAATATGGGTAAAAATAGAAAAAATAGGAATTAATCGCAAACTAATAAAAATAGGTATATGACATTCTTAACAAAAGTTTAAGAGTTTGGTAAAATCTATCAGAAAAAATGATAATATATAGGGTGTACCATTTAAAAAATTGAAATTCCTTAATTTTAATTAGTTGAAATTCCTAAATATATTTTGAACACCCTGTAACATCTAACTAAAATATCTTTACATAGGTCTTTTTCTATATATCTATAAAATTCTCCTACCAAATTTTAGTTGTCCAACTTCAGAATCAATGCCATCATTGACAATTTTTTAACCCACTGCAATCTAACAATTGTTTAAACAAATTTAAATATAACAAAAACTATTAATTTTAGGTATATAACATTATACATAAAAAAGTAATGGAATTTTACGCAGAATCTAAAAATAAAATAAAAAATAGGGTGTTGTATTTAAAAAAACATATGTTATATTCGCCACACTTTTTTGAAGCACCCTGTATACTGTATAATAATTTTAAAATGTGTATCTTAACTTAACCATCTCTATAACTTTTATAGTTAATATTTTTTTTGTAAACCTCGAAACAAATGAGATAATGGACTTTACTCTATCGTTGACTCACCCTGTACATATAACATGACAACGATCTTCATTTCATAGCCGTTGCCGACACCGTTTTTTTCTGGATCATATTGTACTTCAAAATTTGTTTTGCGAGTATTGTCATTTTGGCCTTTAATTATTACATCCGTCGAGAGAAATTGTAGTTAGAAATAAAAAGTTTATTAGTATTTTTTAGACATTGTAAATGATATTAAATCCTTAAGTATAAAATATAATTGAAATCACTAAACTATTCCACTAATTTCTAGGTTCACAATGAGGCTTTAGAATTAATTCTACCTGTGTGTTTTGTGATCATTGACAAATTGCTCATTAAAACTGCAGGTATAAAATTCTATTAAAATTGAACTGACAGTTTTATTGTAATTTTCGAGCTGGTCAACTTTAGGCGACAGCTAGAATACAAAACACTCAGGTAGAAAAATGTGTTAATAGGGGCAGTTATAAACATACTTTTCAGTTCACTTTACCCTTAGTTTACATCAGATCGCTGTAGTATCACCTACAAACAGTAGTTTATTTGCAAGTTACATTAACACGTTGATATTGCACTAACTTGACTTGAATTTCATTTGTATTTTGTGTATCTCTCATAATATGATATATTATAGATAGTCTTCATCAATAACGTAATAACTCAAGCAATTTGACATTTAATTTTTTATATTAGAAGCAAAATCAGAGTTCGTTATGGAGGTATGTATAAAGTGTTTTTACTTGACGGTTTAAAATACCGTTCGATCGAGAAAAAAACAGTGTCACAGTAACCTTTGTAAAAATATTTTATTGCTAATTTTTCCGAAGAGCACCTCTGTATGCCATGTATTAAAAATTAACTTAACATTTGTCAAAAATTAATATTTAAATTAAAAAGGTAAAAAGTATGGAAACTTTTTTCTTTTTCCCGTTTAAGTCTTGCTTTTCGTTGAGTTTTTATGTCATTTTTTATTAGATGAAACATAGCGGTCGACACCACAAAAGTTATCATCGATTATAATTTTTAAGACCACTGTAACATCGTTTTCTTTAGAAATGTCTGTAAACAGTTAGCATGGAAGATTATTTTCTATATTGTTTGTTTTGTGGAACTTCAGTATTATTAATACCAGGTATTTTTCAAAAGTTGCTCACCAGTATAACTTTTTTATTCTTTCAGATAAAAAAAAACGAAATTTGTTATGTTAGTATATGACATATGTAAATAGGTATTGATTGACATATTCAATAAGTTTCGGTCAGTTCCTGTTTCGCCGGAAATGACTACAACTTTTGATTTTTAAATGTTACTCTCATTACTCTGTATGTTTTTACTTTATTTGATAGAAAGTGACATTCTGGATAGAATGTCATATCATATATCAACTTTTGACATTTTCAATTAAAAAAATAGCTAGCTCAATCTACAGTATGTGCCTGGATTGTCTTTACAAGAGGAAAAACTTTTTTATTATTGATATTTTGAGAAAATGCACTCTTCATAACAAAATTTTCTTGTTCTAAAATGGTTAATCCCGTTTATACTTTTCGAAATTTTCATACTGTTTCAGAGAAAATTAAGAAAAACATGAAAGTAAGTATGGTTGAATTACTCAAGTACTAAAAATCAAAAGGCGTTTCTATGGTAATATCAATTCGATTTAATTCTTTGATAATAGATGGTTATTATTAATTTTGATTAACGTCATATTCTTTACTGTTGTTAAAGTTTTACATTTTCCGATAACTATTATCACCCTTTTTCTAGCATTGAACTAAATAAATTTTGTGCTTTAACATTCTGACACAACAAAAAATATTACATTATTTAAAATTCTATTAATAATAATCTATCAAATATCAGTTTTGATTTTTAGGACCGAACCGGAACGGTATGCAAATTTGGAAAAATATAAACGGGATTAACCATTTTAGAACAAGCAAAAATTTTTATGAAGAATTCATTTTTCTCAATATGTCAATAATAAATTCCTGTTGTAAAGATAATCCGGGGCCATACTGTAAGGTGCAATGGCTCTATTAAAACCATTAATTCTTTAATCATGGAGCTAAGGAAAAATATATTTGATCGTCTACGTGTCTTTTCCTGGTCAGTTAAAAGATTCCCAAATCGTATTTTTAATCATAACTCGATTTTTTTAATTGAACGAGAGTGGCTCATTAGCGTATTTGAAAAAAGTATTCTTTTACGAATCATTTGGTATCACATACTTGTTATTTAAAGTTGCAAATTGTAGTTGCATTTATGACCGTGACACTCTAGATTGAAATTTAAAATACTATTATTTTTTGAGCGAAAATGTCAAAAGTTGACATATGATATGTCATTCTATTCAAAATGCCATTTTCTATCAAATTAAGTAAAAAATATCGAGAGTACCTTTTAAAAATCAAAAGTTATAGTCATTTCCAGTGAAACAGGAAATGAACGAAACTAGTAGAATACGTCAATCAAACCTCATTTATGTCATATACTAACCTACCAAAACTCGTTTTCTATCTGAAAAAATAGAAAATTTGTAGGGGTGAGCCACTTTTAAAACACCCGGTATAATCACTTTATCATTGTCATCTCTGAAATGTTGGCAAGGAAGCGAAAATTTACAAACCCACTTTAATACATATTAAATTTTATATAACATATATTTTTTTAGGCAACAAAAAAGGAGAACCTTAAAGAAGACATGGAAGAAGCTGACTTCAAAGTGGAACAAAGCAGAGACGCTCTGGCTACAGAGATGTTTACTCTGTTATCTAAGGAGAATGAATTGTCTTCTTATATATTACAGTTGCTAAAATTACAAAGGGGATATCATGAAAGTGCCTTGAAAAATTTAGAGACAATAATACCCGTGCTTGAAAGGACAATAGGTATGTGAATATATGGCAACTATCAGATGGTTTACAACAGATGTGATAACTTCTTTATCGTACTTTTTACATGTTTAAAAATATATTTTTAATTCCTGTTACGGTATTTTATATCGATTCTTTATGTTAGGCATTTAGGCCAGTAAGCAAGGATAAAAATAGGGCATTACCTCTGAAAGCTTGACACCCGCACCGATTGACGTGAAATTTTAACAGTGAATAGAGATATATGTAAGAAACAAAAGTTACATAGTAGCGATGTGTGCTTTAACCCTGGGAGTGACGCCCACCCCTTCTTGGGGGTGAAAAATAAATCACCCATTTTAATTGCAAAAATCAATAAAGGGATGAATTCTAAGTAAATAATGTTCTATTACATTTTTTCAGAAAAATAATATTTTCCGACTTATTTAGGAATGAAAATGTTGATTTTTCATCTAAGAACTGCATATTTTTCTGCCATTTTCTTCCAAAAATGTGTTCTTTCGGCATTATTTTACGTAAAACGTTGCAGTTTAGTTTTCGAAAAATAAAAAATCACTTTTACAGAGTGATAACTCGATTATTATTACACCTACAGTAATTAACAATGAATAACAAAAATCAATATGACCGTTTTTAAAGTGATTTAAAAGACCTTTTAAATGCTTTTATAAAAAAGGCCGTATCTCAAAAACTCACGGAATTGTGATAAAAATAAAATGGTCACCTAAATCAAAATCTCTGACTAAAATCTTAAAAACAAAAACTAAGCATAATACATATGCAGTTGGCTATATTTAGGTACTTAGAATAGGCTTTGCAAGTTCGAGCGGTTTAGAATGCCTAAATTTGGAAAAAAGTTGAAAATAATGGAAACTTTTTTTTATTAAATTTTTAATTTTTTTGACATATCTCAAAAACTAAGCAAGATACGTAAAAATGCAATAGAGTAAAATTGAAGGTCTTCTTTTGCAATATTTTTGCTCTCTTTCAATTTTCTGTAGATATCTTTATTTTGTAGATATTACGTTCTTTCAGTTTGACTTGCGAGTAAGGACCACCTTCTTTCAGCCCTTAAAACCCAAAAATCTCGTAAAAATTAAGAGTTCAAGACTGTTAGAAGTTAATTTGTAGTTCGTGTAATTTTCTACAAATTGATGGTTTTTATTTTTATGATTTTAGTCATAGATTTTGTTGTTAATTTTTTTCCGAAAAAATGAGGTGACCATTTTATTTTTATCATAACACCGCGAGTTTTTGAGCTACGAACTTGAAAAAGCCTTTTAAAAAATCATTATTTAAAAGGTCTTTTCAAGCACTTTAACCCTTTACTTGGCAAAAGAAAATATTTCTGATTTTGCCTAAAATTTTATGATTAATGAAATAAGTAACATCAATGTAGTTAGGAAAAAATGCAAAAAAAATTTTTTTTGCTCTTGGTGGAGATTTTATATGTATCCCAGAGGATACATTACTTATTTTGAAGAAACTAACGATAATTAATAAATGTATCTTAAAATATACATTGCCAATTATTACTAACATTGAAATACTAAAACTTAGACTAAATAAACAAAAGAGAACGTATTGTTTTTGGATATTATTTTAATAGTTACACAGGTAGGTTAAAATTCTCGAAAAAAAATCCATTTAAAATACCATTTTACGATACAAACTTTGTTTTCATTGCGTACTACCTGAGAAAAAGATCCTCAACCATTTTTTGAAGCTGTTTATCAGACTCTAAATATTTCTCTACTTCTCCAAATTCGATTAAAAAACAAAGAAAAATATTCGTAAGGTGATATCAATTTTCACTTTGACAAATTTTGTTACTTATAGTAGCGCAGTATTCAAATGGTTTACGTTCCCATTTAGGGAAGGCTTACTTCGTCTAATATCAATTCATTTTTTCAAAAGCCTGGGTCTTTTAGGACGTGTAAAACTGGCCGGGGAAACACTGACTGGTATTTTCGGGAAATTGGAAGGCGTCAGTTTTCTTAAACTATTCGGTGTGGCCGTCCTTGGAGATGAGTTTGGTGAATCAGATTCCCTCTAGGTCCTAGGTTACTACTAATACAGGTTTAATAACAACTGTTTTGAAATGCTCTGAAAAAGTATACAGCTTTTTCATAGCAATATCATAGAGAAAGAGCAATATGATCGCCTATTATATTTTGCGATTCGCTTTCGGAAAATATACTTAAATTTTCTAGCGAGGAAGAAATCGATGGCGCAGAGGATGTATCATTCTCTTCAATTCGACGGCGGCAAGTATGTTGTATTTCATCTTCAGATGATGAGCTTCTCTGGGTATCAGACTTTATATTTTTCTTTGGAACCAGTTGGAACCAAGAATAATATTTTTCTTGTTCTGTAATCTTGAGTAAAAGAAAAATTCTGGAAGAAAAATATCTACATAAACATGACGATGTATCTTGTAAGATACGGAATTTAAAAATCTTTATTTATACTGATCATGGCGGTGTATCCTGTGAGATACGTTAATCATTTTCTGGATTAAAACTAATCAGAAAATAATTAGACAATACAAATATTGTAATGTCGAAGTAGTTGATGCTTCTCTTTGATGTCTTGACTAAGTGTTAATGGATTTTTGAAAAAATACCACATATTTATGTCAAAAACTTATCTGCATGTCGAAACACCCGCCTGCACTCGACGCCATTATGCACCCGACTGCCACCTAGTACAAATTTAGGCTAGCTATGCGCAGGGAACTATCTCTTAAATACATAAACTGTGCATAGAGTGCACTAGTTAAATTACAGAACATGTATAGTAGTTGTTACGAATTTTTTTATTTAATGTATCTCAAGAGATACACAGTGAAGTAAAGGGTTAAATATGGTCATATTCATTTTCTTCGAGAAATGTGTTCCTTCGCCATTATTTTACGGTAAAAGGTTGCAATAATTTAGTTTTCGAAAAATAAAAAATCATGTTTACAGTGTGATATCTCGGCTATTATTACACTTACGGTAATTATCAATGTGTGATTTATTTTTCACCCCCGAGAAGGGGTGGCACTCACCCCCAGGGTGAAAGCACACATCGCTACTATGTAACTTTTGTTTCTTACCATATATCTCGTTAAAATTTTACGTCAATCGGTGCAGGTGTTCAGAATTCGGACCCAAAGCCCTCGCTTACTGGCCTAATTCTGAAATTGATATTGTAGAATCTTCGGCAGAATCAGTGTTCAAAAATAAATGGCTTCAGTTAGGCTTCAATAAATCAGTTGTAGACTTTTTGGCTGTCACTGTATAGAAGTTATTTTTAATAATATTTTGTATATTTTTAAGGTGATAGTCCCATTAAAAAGGTTTTTGGAGTACCATTAGCTGAACATTTAAGGGTCACTGGAAAGAAGCTAGCTTTTCCTTTAGAAATATGTATCACAAGTTTGTTAGAGCTTGGTATGAGCGAAGAGGGGTTATTTAGACTTGCCGGCGGCATGTCAAAAGTTAAGAGACTGAAGTCATCTATAGATAGTGGCTGTTTTACAAGTTTAATACCAGAATATAGGTAAGTTATAATAGTAGCGTCTTGTGTGCTTTGAACGAGCGGGGGGGCAAGTAAAACTTACCTATTATATTTTATATGAAGTCGATTCTTCTAGTTATTGTGTTGGAAGAGACGCCATTGACTTGTCAAAATCTGCATGATAGTAGGTTTTTTAAAGATTTTTAACAGTTAACCTCCGCCAATTTCATTATGGGTTAAAAACTCAAATCTCTAACGTTTGCATTTTTTGCCTGTTTTTTGCATTTAGTGTAAAAAAAATAAAACTATATAGGTTTTTCCCTTTCTGAGAAGCATTTGTTTTGAATGTTAAAAAATTTAATGAAAAATATACAATGTCAGTCAAAATATACAGCCATTTAAAAAAACAGAACTTTGGGCAATATTCAAGTACAACTTATAGCAAAAATCTGATGATGTATCTGGATTTTGTGTTAGGAACTATTTTTGAACCAGTTATTAGCTAATCGATAAGTGGAAGGTTAGCGGAGATACAATGGGTATCCCAAAATTCAATATTTTCAATTTTGATTACGGGATCGTTAAATTTCCCGAAAAAGTTGTTAGCATTTGTGAAAAACACAGTTCTTTTAAGTTAAGCAAAAGTTCTATATTTGAGAGAAAACTCCAAGAATTGTTAAAGCAAGAAATCATTAAAAAGAGATAGATAAATGTTCGATTCTGAACGATTGTGAATAAAAAACGAGTCTAAATAGATCTAGTAAATAGAAATTGGGCTTTTTCTGATAATATTTTTTTTTTTCAGAGATGTTCATGTTCTTGCGAGCACGTTAAAATCCTATTTGCGGGAACTCCCCGAACCATTGCTCACTTATAGTCTTCATAAAGATTGGTTGCAGTCAATGCAGGGTCCCGAAGATCAAAGAATAGAAATCGTAAAGCATTTATTAAATAAGTAATAAAGTCGATCTTTGCAATATTTTCAAATTGTAATATAATATTATTTCCGTTTAGGTTACCTCAGGAAAATAGGGATAATTTAGCTTATCTTATACAATTCTTAGCCAAGCTTACTCAGCATACCGAGAACAAAATGTCTTCCTCAAACATAGCAATAGTAATAGCACCAAATTTATTATGGGACAAATATGAAGAGGTAAGTACCGCTTTAAAGTATAGTAAGTTAAGTATAGTAACTGTCAAATTACAGTAAAAAACAATGTTTATAACTTAAACTTTCTTATTTCTTCAGATTAAAAAACTATATTTGTTATATTAGTATACAGGGTGATTCCTGTAAGTCGGTCATGCTTTCGAGGAATGATAGGGGACGTCGAAATATTAATTTTGATATAGCACACTATGGGTCGGAAATGCCTCTTACGCAAGCTACAGGGTGTTAAAGTTTTTTAAAAATTAAAGATGTTCTTTAATAGTTTTTTTAACAGTTGAAGGTATCGTTATAAAATTTTATTATAGAAGTCTGCCTAACAGAGACACTTTAAAGGTAAAAAGAAGAGGTTTTAGTTTCAACCAGTGGCGTAGCTGTGATACGCATCTGGTAATATTTTCAAAAAAAAATAGTACGCCACTGATAAAAATGAAAATTTCGGAGGTTTTTTATTTACTCGGTTTATTTCCAAGAAAAAATGTCTCTCGCAACTTTCTTCTATCTAACACCATTTTGTCACAATTTAAAAATAAATATTTTTTTACTGAGAACCTTAAATATGCGAATTATTATAACTACCTTAAAACTACGAATTTACTACGTTATTAACAATAAAAAAAATTCTAGTTTAAATTTATAATTTTTAAAAAATTTATTTAGAGGTAATAGCACAGATTATACAGATTATAATCTTTGTTTTTTCTTTATTGTTTTTCGTGGTTCCAATTTTCGGAATCGGGCACTAGTTAGGTGACTAGTTTGCGCACATAGCACGCCCACTTATGGCCTCTAAAATTGTGCACAGCGCCTGACCGGCACAGTTATTAGAGAGATATCGGAAAACCGAATAGCGTCATCCAGTATTTACGCGTACCTTATCAGGGTTACGATATGCGCGAGTCAACGCAACACCCGCTAATAATGTTACCGCCTGACGTAATTTGCGGATCAATTACACCAAGCGCTCTTTCTAAATAACCTCTGATAACGTTTAAAAATTGCTTAAATGGGCATGTGCGGGTATTTGACAACCGGAGCCGGCCGGCGAGATGTTTTATTTTAGATTATGTTTGAATTGTTTTGAATTATTGCCTTAGTTTTATTAGGTAATTTGACATTTAAGTAGCTGGGATTAGTTTTAATTAAATAAATATGGCTCAAAATATGGATTCCAACTCTTCCAATACTAAAGAACCTATAAAGAGTCTTAGGTTTACAGCAGATGACGACTTAGCCCTTCTAAGAGAATTTGTTGCTTGTTGCCCTAAACCCACTTGCAGACGTTGAACAATAAAGCACTGGAAATAAGCACTTTAGCCCTTTAGTTTTAAAATACCTAGTAAACAAAACAATTTCAAAGTTTTAAATTCAAAGTTAGGTTAAGTTTAAATAGCGGACGCGACGCGATCAAATTCTTTCCGATCCAATAACTATAAATGAAGAGAGTTAATACCACCTCATGTAAAGGAAATAACACCTGGCCTTATTAACGTCCATGCACGCTATTCGGTTTAGCGATATCTCTATATTACACTGTTTATTGTTATTTTACGCGAGTTTATTTTTGCGCACAGGAAATTTGACTCGTTTGCACATCGTCATAAAAAACAATTTTCGTACCACGAATTAGGGACAAGATTTTTATCTGTATACTTATAGGATACCTAATCTGTGGTAATAGTAAAAAGTACTAAAGTTACCCAAGATGAACGGAGCTAACGATGCACATGTGTTTCTGCCCTCTAGTTATAAAAATTCGCTGGTATTTAAGATTCTCATTAAAAAAATTATTTATTTTTATATTGTGACAAAATGGTGTTAGATAGGAGAAAGTTGCAAGAGACATTTTTTCTTGGAAATAAACCGAGTAAATAAAAAAACTCCGAAATTTTTATATTTATCAGTGGCGTACTTTTTTTTTTTTTTTTTTTTTTTGAAAAAATTGCCCGATGCATATCACATCTACGCCACTGGTTGAAACTAAAACCTCTTCTTTTTACATTTAAAGTGTCTCTGTTAGGTAGATTCCTATAATGAAATTTTATAACGATACCTTCAACTGCGCTTGATCCATCAAGCATGCGTACCGAGTAGGTTATGTGCTAGCGGCAGTCGTATTAATTTACAATTATAGTACCTGTAATTATTATTAAAAATAGAAAAAGTGTCATATTCGTGATTAAGAGTGGTGCAATGATGACCAGAGGTGGAGGCAAAAGTGAGGACTCCTCTAAAAAGCAGGTGGGAGAGTTTCAAATATTGAACCAGCGCATGGAAGAAATGGCTGCCAAGTTTAAGACTGACCTTAATGACTTCCGGAACGTTTTACAAGAAAAATCCATGGCAAGGACAAGTGCCAGCGAAGACAATGTCTTAAATGGCGATTTACTGAAGTTATCCGAAAAATTCTCATTATTCGAAAAAACTGTAATGACGTCATTGGACTCTTTAAGGCAGGATATGAATCAAATAAAGATAGAGGTCGCTACAAACAACAATAATATTCTGGTGCACGGTGTGAACGAGGACTCACCTGACATCTATCAGGCCATATGCGATCTAATGCATTCCAAAATCAATATAAATGTGCAAAAAAACGATATAAATTATTGTTATCGTTTGGGTACCACTAATACGAGAGACAAAAAACCAAGACCTATTTTAGTTTCATTTTGTTGTCGATGGCTTCGAGATCAAATATTTTATAGCAAAAAACTGCTCAAAGGTTCAAATGTCTTGTTTACTGAATTGCTTACGGCCGAGAATTTAAAACTATTTAAAGTTGCCCGTGGGCACTTTCGAAATCACTGCTGGACAAGATCGGGGAAGGTGATTGTTCTGTGTGAAGGTGTGCAGGTGGTTGTCTTTTCTCAGGAAAAACTCAGTGAGCTGATTGGAAAAGCCTAGTTCAGTGTGATACCTCGTTGACTAATTTCTCAAGGTACTGTCTTTGATTTTCTTTCAATTAACTAATTTATATATCAATTCACTATACCAAATTCAATATCTAAAAAAATGTGTGGATATTATAGATATTTGAATATCTAAAAAAAAACATTTATATTTAATTTTTTCTTTAAGGAGTTGTTCTTCTAGTTATCATAATAAGCGTATTGTATAATTCGTTGTTTTGAATGCTTCTATTTTTTAAAGAAACTGCATAATATTACTTTGTTTTTCATATTTTAATGTATTGGCTTTCTAGCAATTGTTATACGTATTAGATATGGTTGGGAATTATTGCTTATACTTTTGTTTTCTATTGAAAATACCTATTTTTTGAGGGAAAGTGTATATTAATTTCGTTTTGATATAAGCATTTCAAGTCTGCCTATTCTAGTATGCGGGTGAATATATCTATGAATTATTGAACTTTAATTTTTTATTCTCTATTGATGCTTCAATTACTAAGCTAATGAACACGAAATTTTGTATGTAAGTTTTATTTGATTATAGTAGGCGGCGAGATATAGCTGTGACTTATTGTATTTTTTCTATAAAATCTTCTTTCATCTTATATAAGTTGGGTAATGAATAATATAAATTGTACTTTACGGCTAAACATTCCTGATACTGCTTTTGATGGGCATGTATGTTTGCTATAATCTGAGAGGGTGTGATCGATGGGAGCTAGGCACTGGCGTGGGTACTGGGTTGCGACATCTCAATGATATTAGGTGATAATATTGCGCAGGTAGGCCATAATTCCAAAATTGTCAAAACTAAGAGCCTTGTCACTGCTCATCTAAATGTTCGATCACTCAATACAGGGTTTGACGAGTTCGCTAATTATATTTATGATTGCAACTTTGACATACTAGGACTGTCAGAAACCTGGTTAACATCTGACTGGGATTCAAGTTCTTTTAATCTTGAGGGATATAATCTAATACGCAAGGATCGTGGGGCCAGGGGTGGCGGCGTGGGAGCCTATGTAAGGAAACATATTAGTAGTCAAATTGTGGATCTTGGAATAACCTCTGAGAGTTGTGAATATGTTGGCGTACGTATCAACCTAAATAAGAAAACTTTGCTATTTGTGAGTTTATATCGACCTCCTTCGTCGAATTTAGAGCATTTTTTTGACACTCTAGAAAACATGTTATCTGCTACTGTTCCGTATTATAACCACATTATTCTAACTGGAGATTTTAATATCGATTTATTAAAAAACTCAAGAACTAAATTAAAAATGATTGAACTGCTTAATACCTTTAATCTAACTCAGCATATTACGGAACCTACGCGGATAGATATGAACACGAACGCATCTACACTAATTGACTGTATAATTACCGACAATAATCTTTACTGCCAAAGTAGTCACTCTTTTAATATTTCTGAGACTATATCAGATCACTGTTTAATATTTGGAAATTTTAATATACCCATTACCGAATATAAAGAAAAATATATGCAATACAGGAACTATGACAATATTGATTATGAAAAGTTTCAACAAGACGGTCAAGAATTACCATGGGGTACCATCTATTATACAAATAATATTAACACAAAATTAGAATTATTTAATAATAATATTTCAAATCTTATTAATAAACACGCACCCTTAAAACAAAAAAAAACTAAAATTAAGCCTTTTACACCTTGGATTACAGGCACTATTAAGTGTTTGATTAAATTGAGGGATAATGCTCATAAGAAATATTTAAAAAATAAGACGGATGCTCGGCTTAAATATTATCGTGATCTAAGAAATTACACTAAACATGCTATTAACCGTGAAAAAATTTCTTATTTTAAGTCTCTATCTAGTGAAAAGGGTAGTGACTTCTGGAAAGCAGCAAAAAAATTAAATCTCACTCATAGAATAACCTCTGAAGTTCCACCTGAAATTGCGGATCCTATAAAATTTAATAATTTTTTTGCTAGTTGCAATAGAATAATCGACACAACCTCGATAGAAAAAATTTTTTTTTACAATAATAATAGGCACAAAAATATTACTTCAGAACTGAACTTTA